AGCAGCTCCTGGCCCTCCTGCTGGCAGCAGCGCAGCGTGTGCTCGCGCTCCTCGGCCTGCTGCGTCAGGGTGCCGATCTCCAGGCACTTCTGAGAGTACTGCTCCGACAGCACCTGCAGCTCCCGCTTCAGCGCCTCCATGTCTGACCTGCCCGGGGCGGAGCAGGGGAACAGTGATGGATGTGGGCTCGCATGCCCTCTGCCACCTGAGTCGGGTCATGGCAAACTCAACGCAGCTCCTGATTCCCACCCTAGTGTTGCTTTGAGCCCAATTGTGGGGCTTTGAACGGTGACAGGCTCCCGTGGCTACAGGTGCCTCCTCTGTGAGGGGCGGGTGGGAGGAGCCCATCGCTACAGCCTCTGCAGCCTCCAGAACTGTGCTCGGTGGCAGGACAGGGACTGGCCGAGGCTGACACTGCAGCCCAGCTCTAGGGGACACTAACGAGGGGACAGGAGTTGGAGGCCGAGACCAGCCTGACAAGAAGGGGCCAGAAGAACGGTGGCCTGAAGAACTGTCTCTGTGGACGGCATGGAGGTCTGACTAAGGCCCTGCTGCTCTGTTCAGGTGCCACAATGGCAGTGGGGGTTTCAGCTGGGGGCAAACTGACGTATCCTTTGCCCAGGGGCGTCAGCACAGGTCCCTGACTCATGACGGCCAGTGTATGCAGCTGGGTCCCCGGCTCAGAAGGAGGCCCAGCCCACAGACCCCAGGGCCCAAGTGCCATCTCACTGGTGCTGCTTCCGGAGGCCGTCTGGGCCCTGCTGGAGGCTCCGTGTCTTGTTCAGCTCCCGGCTCAGCTCCTCCTGGTAGGCCTTCTTCATGGCTTCGATGGCTGGAAACAGAGCAGAAGCGAGGGGGAGGTTGGGGAGGGGTCAGCAGCACCAACTTTACCTCCTCTGAGACGCCACACGTGCCGTGGAGACAGGAGCAGGCAGTGGCATGCAAAGAGCCCAGGACCAGGCTGTGTCGTGAACTGAGTGGCTTTGGGTAAGTTGCTCGACCTTCCTGAGCCTGTCTAGCAAGAGAGGGTCACAATCCCTGTCTGATGGACCCTGCTGGGGAGACACCCAGTGTCTGAGCACTGGTACCTTTTGCTAGTGATGGCTGGGTAGAGCCCACACAGTCCACTGTCCCTGCACAGCCTGGAGGGTCCTTTAACAAGACCCATCTGTGTGGCCCAGCTTAGTGGTCAAGAGTACAGGCTCAGCAATGGATACAAATCGAGGTGACTTTGCTCAGGGGACTTAACCCCTCTGGGCCCCAGGTCCTCATTGGAAAGTGGGGTTAACAATGCACCTTCTCTCATGAGTCACTGGGAGACGTGTGAAGAGCATTTCGAACAATGCACAGCACAGACATTAGCTTCTGGTTGATTTTTCAGACTGTGAGCTCCCGAGGACTGAGTCTCTTTTCACACTTACACAGGGTTGCTGTGAGGATTAAACAATCCTCAACCATCATCTTGTCTGTAATTCCAAAATCTAAAAGCTCTGAACACTGGAAGTTTTTCATAACTTTTTTGGTAACAATCCCCGGCCTAAATGGACATTTGAGGTCCCACTTAAGGGTGACCCTGAGAAATGTCACTGCAAATAACTTGGTGCTAGATTTCACGGTGAAGCCCAGATCCTGCTGAGATACCTAATATATGCACCAGGTTATCTTCCTAAAAGCAAAATGCATGGCCCCAGGGTTTGGGATGCGGGGCCATGGGCTTGAGTGTGTCAAGCACTTATCAGGTGTAAGTTCTAGATCATGTGATCTCTTCCATCGTTTCCATTATTCTAAAACCATCTGGAGGTGCATGCGCTGTGCCAGGCACACAAAGCAGAGGGTCGGTTCAGAGCATGGCTTTGCAGTCAGTGTGCTCTGGGCTCCAACTCGAGCTCTGCCACCTCTAAGCTGTGCCATTTGGACAGATCACTAACCTCTGACCCAGTGTCCTCATCTGAGAAATGGGTCACTCTCTTGGGCACTGCAAGGCCTAGGACTGCTCACACCCCTCCCTGCTCTCCCCGGGGTCCGGCCTGTGTGCCCAGTAAGGTAGCCCCGCTGTGAAAACTGGGTCTGTGGCTAAGCAGTCTCTCCCCCAGGACATGGCACCGGCTTGGGCATAGGCTTGGATCACAGTGGACCTTCCAGTGGCTACAGGCCCCAAGGGAGCACTCACAGCCAATGGGGGGGGGGGTGTGTCTTTTCATTGCCTCACTTTCCTCTTTTTAAGTAGGTTCAGAGGCCAATTCTGGGGGCTTCCAACTCCTCTTGATCCCTTACCCTAAGTCTAGCACCAGGGACCCCAGCTTCTTATTTAAGAGCCTCCCAAATCCAGCCAGGAGGAGCCTCAGCTTAGAGGTTTGCGAGGCCGAGCCCGCTGTGCCACTCCTTCCCGGGGTCCTCACCTGAGGCCGTGGCGGCTGTCTCCTCGGCCAGGAGCCACTCCTTCTCCTGCTGCAGCCTCTGCAGCTCCCGCTCGTGGTGCCGCTGCAGCTCTTCCATCACCTGCTGGTGGGAGGACTCCATCTCGGCCAGGCTGCGCTCCCAGGCCTCCTGCAGGCAGGGCCAGGGGTCACGGGCTGCTCCCATTGCCTGGGAGTGGTCCTTCTCCAGCCTGAGGTAGGCAGGCCTACCCTGGTCCAGGCTTCCCCTGGACCCCAGCACCACCCGCCTGTACCCGCCACCACCCCTCCCCTCCAGCTACAAACCTCATCCTGTCATTCTTCTGCTTCAAACCCTTCTGAGGCCCCCGTCCTGCAGGGCCAAGTCCCTGTTCCATGTTTGACCCTTGCAGCCTCATCCCTGGCCCTTACTCCACCCAAGAAACCCCCCTAGTTATAAAAAACAATTCAGTGTGTTCACACCCGAGCTTTAGCTCATGCTCTTTCCACTGCCTGAAACATTCTTTTACATCTTTCTTTCCCTGGGTAACTCACTTCACCTGCAGCCCAGCTTAAATACCCTCCTAGCTCTGTCTCTGGACAAGCTCTCCGCTGCCGCCAAAGGCCTTGTTTCCGCCAGATATAAGTCCCCCAAGGACACGGGGCCCAGGACAGGGCCTGACGTGTGGCAGGTGCTGGGCAAAGGAGCTGAAAGTGATGACATCACAGAACAGGGCCTTGTGGATCAGCTGGCCAGTATTTTTTTAAAAACATATATTTTTATATTATTTCAGAGAGGAAGGGAAAGGGAGAGAGAGATAGAAACATCAACGATGAGAGAAAAATCATTGATCAGCTGCCTCCTGCGTGCCCCACATTGGGGATCAAGCTCATAACCCGGGCATGTGCGCTTGACAGGAATCAAACCTGGGACCCTTCAGTCCGCAGGCTGACACTCTATTCACTGAGCCAAACCAGCGAGGACAGACTGGCCAGTATTTAAAAGCCTGATAATACCCACTGCTGGGAGAGTCGCTGTGATGGGGTTCGTGGAGGGCAGTTTGATAGCACCGATGCATTTTTAATGACCCTATCCCTTCACCTAGCGCAGCGGTTCTCAACCTGTGGGTCGCGACCCCTTTGGCGGTCGAACGACCCTTTCCCAGGGGTCTCGTAACACCATCATGCATATCAGATATTTACATTACGATTCATAACAGTAGCAACATTACAGTTATGAAGTAGCAACGAAAATAATTTTATGGTTGGGTCACAACATGAGGAACTGTATTTAAAGGGCCAGAAGGTTGAGAACCAATGACCTAGCAGGTCCACTTGTAAGAATGACCCCACAGAAAGTCACACGTGTACAAAGACTGGCAACAGACAAGAACTGGAAACAATCTAAATAAACAACCCTTAAATAAGTCATGAGATCGAGCCTTACAAAGGACCCAGGCAGCTGGTAAAATGCAGAGCTGTGCACATGGACAGCTGGGGCAAGGAGTGTGGAAAGTTAGGTGATAAAAGCTGGTTTCTGGCAATGTACATGGGTGATCCCACTCACGGAAACAAAGCCCATGGAGCCGGACATCCGGATACATGTATGGAAAATCACAGGAAAGGTAGGAAGGACGCTAGCAGGCAGAGGACTGGCCCCCAAAGATGTCCGCGTCCCGCTCCGGAACCTGTGAGTATCACCTTATACTGCGGCGGAGGGGACCTGAGCTTGCTAGGAGACTCTCTCTCCTAGATTACGGACTGGCCAGGAAGCCACGGATCGGTCCGTAGATGCATAAGAGGCAGGGCAGGAGGGCGGGGGGGGGGATGAGTGGCTGCGAAAGGAAAGGAGGTAGAGTGACGTGAAGTGAGGACTTGACTCCTTTGCTCTCTTTAAAGAGGAAGGAATGGCCGTCAGCCACAGAAGGAGGGCAGCCACCAGATGCTGGAAAAGGCGAGAAGCCGATCGCACCCAGAGCTCACAGGAGACGCAGTTCTGCGGGTGCCTGGATTTAGCCTGGCGAGACCCATGCTCGACTTCTACCCTCCAAACTGTGAGGTGATACAGGAAACAACACAGATGTGCTCTGATGGCACTCTAGGCGACCCCTGCGGGGCGCGGGGGAGCAGGCAGGGGGAGTTCATGTGTTTATTTCTAACCTTTTAATTTGAATTATGAAAATGTAAACCTATTTCTTATATAATTAAAAAAATATTTAAGGCCCTGGCTGGGTGGCTCAGCCGGTTGGAGCGTCGTTCTGTACATCAAAAAGGTTGCAGGCTCAATTCCAGGTCAGGGCGTGTACAGCAGACAACTGATCGGTCGGTTTCTCTTTCACATCGATGTTTTTCTGTCTCTCTCCCCCTTCCTCTCCCTGTAAAGTCAATTTAAAAAACCGTAGCCCTGGGTGAGAATAAAAAAATTAAGATAATTGAAAAGGGAAGGTGAAGAGCTAGGGAAGAACCAAGGCCCAGAGGCCAGGTAAGAGGTTGTATTCTCGCCTGGCCGGTGTGGCTCAGTGGATTGACCACTGTCCCATGCACCAAGAGGCCAAGGGTTCGATTCCCCCTCGGGGAACATGCAGAGTTACGGACTTGCTCTCCAGTAGGGGGCATGCAGGAGGCAGCTGATCGATGTTTCTATCTCTCCCTCTCCCTTCCTCTCTCTCTAAAAATCACACAAAAGAACTGCATTCTCCTTCATGG